CCCGGCTAATTTTTTTGTATTTTTAGTAGAGATGGCGTTTCACTATGTTGGCCAGACTGGACTTGAACTCCTGATATATCATGATCTGCCTGCCCTGGCCTCCCAAAGTGCTGGGATTACAGCTGTGAGCCACTGCGCCTGGCTTCTTTTTTTTTTTTTTTCTATTTTTTTCCTCCAACATGGCATCTCACTCTGTTGCCCAGGCTGGAGTGTGGTGGCTCAATCTGAGCTCACTACAACCTCCCCTTCCCGGGTTCAAGCAATTCTCTGCCTCAGCCTCCTGAGTAGCTGGGATTACAGGCATTGGCCATCTCGCCCAGCTAATTTTTTTATTTTCTTTTTTTAGTAGAGATGGGGTTTCACCATCTTGGCCAGGCTGGTCTTGAACTCCTGACCTTGTGATCCACCCGCCTCCGCCTCCCAAAGTGCTGGGATTAGAGGCGTGAGCCACTGCACCCGGCCCCGTTTCAGCTTATTTAGCTACTTTTTAGATAGCTTGCAAAACTACTAGGAAAAAATTCCTAGAGGACATCTTGAAAATGATGAATTAGCAGGAAAATTTCAAAGATGTGACTTAGTTATAAAGTCCCTAGATAAATGCATTGAAAAGCTTCAAGTTGACAATAATTTCATTGAAAATGCACTTAAAACAAAAATGGAATTAGAATTTTTCTGAACTTTGGATACTCTTCGAAGTTCTGGAGGTACCACCTAAAAATAAGAAAAAACATTTAAAAAGGAAATAATTCTGTCACTTAAACATTTAACAGATGCTAACAAAAGTGACAATTATTCATTGTAAAATACTGAGTTTTTAAAATGTAGTAACAAAAATTTTGGCATTTCATACCCTTAGTTTAATTTTGCCTATATCATGAAGAATTAAACATGTCTAATCATAAAGTATGATTTGGAAAAAGTAGCCCATAGAATTCACCTTTCTATCTGGAAGGAAAAGTACTGACATTTGATGAAAATACTCATCAGCACATTGTGGGGCTATCTTTTCAGCCCCCGGGGAAAGCATGCAGGCTGGAGGAGGGGCAGGACCAAGTAGGTGCTTCCTGAACCTCTGCTGGTGACTCTAGCAGTTTTCTCCAGCCTGTAGTTGAGAACTACTGGCCCAGCCCGGGGTGTGCAGAGTGGGCACCCAGCACATGCCGGGGGGCTCCTGAACATCTCTGAGCAAGGATTCAGTGAAATCTGGGGAAATGCAATATGGCATTGTCCACAATTCAGCCCTGTGCTCGAAACAAACAGTATTTTCCGTTTTGATATAAATTATATGAGCAAAGGCATGCTCATTTGTTTTGGGGGTAATAGTTGGGAAAGGTGGCAACTAAGTGGAGTAAAAATTAAAAATAGTTTGACAGGACAGATAAATGGTCGTAGAAAGAGACTTTCTATAAACACACAGAGAAGGATTAAACAACAGACTAAAAATAATGATAGAAAGCAATTAGCTCTTTGTTAATGTGGTAGAAACAGATGAGGATGAGAAACAGAGTGAGTTGTCTTAGTTCTAAGTTTAACACCAGAATCCACAAATAGAGAATGAGAACATACTGGGCTGCCATGTTTACTTTAGTATGTTCTGTGTCCCCAGAAAGGCATGTAATAGGAACAATTCTAAGAAGTTGGTCAGGATTCCGGGTCAAGCGTCACTTCCCCTGGCATGAGGCTTCAAGACTGCAGCCTTTCCAGCTGTGTGGCTCAGTGGTGGTGCATGGACCCGAGAGTGCCCATCACACAATGTGGCCAAGCCTACCAGCTGGTGTGAAACCTGCAGAAGTGTGTTGCAGACATGTTCGCTGGTTAGGTGCTGAAGGTTTCCACAGGCCTGCTGGGATCCAGGCCAGCTACCACCCGCGCATGCCGAAAAGCTTCCCCACGGTCCAGCGGGACAGGGCACCACACAGGGACACAGGAGGTGAGCTCCTCTCTCCCAGAATCTGCCTGTGGAAGATGGGTACCCTGGCCTGAAAAGGCAAGGGCAGAGTACACAACAGCAGGAGAGCCTAAAATGGACAAACACAAGAGGGCAGGCGGGACACAGGAGACACAGGACAGCTGCAGGACCCCCAAAAGACGCCCTCCCCAGGCTGGGCAGCGAGGCGGGACTCCGTGACAACAGAGAGAACACGTGTGAGGTCAGGATGTTCTCACACAACGAAGGGATGTTGGCTGAAGAGGTTAAATGTATTTCACAGAAACCAATATATAGAAATAAATTATTTCTTGTTAAATGATTAAATGTTTCTCACTCCTTAGAATACCTTTAAATTTTGCCCTTAAAGAGAATATTTGTTAGCAACCCAGCATGGCTGGTTGACTGTTCCTGACCTAGAGTTTAACTATCAATGCAATCATTTATAAATTTAAATACTAATTATTATAGAAAGAATTTCTTTTTTTTTTTTTTGAGACAGAGTTTCGCAATATAGAAAGAATTTCATTGTAATACAATATTGTTTTTAGAACATTATAATCAAATGGAGTGGAAGGAATAGCTCCTTAGCATGTATTATTTTGGAATACGCTTCCTTGATGGCTTAATTTGTTGGGTTTATGAAAATATTTTTTAAAAAGTAGTTTTTATTTTATTTGCAGCTTGTAAGTCCTTCATTTCTGAACATTCTTCTGCAAAACTGAATTGATTAATTCTTCCCACTTAAAACTAGTTTCACACTGACACCAATTTAAGTAGCAAACAAATGACAAAGAGCTCTTTCAACTCAGGAATTCTTCTGCAAAGAACATCTCTGGGTTTTCATTAGCAAAGACTTTCATTTAGATAACTGACTTGTTTATTTTCCATTTCTATATGTTTCATATTCAAATACTGAGAGGGGTTTTCCTGTTTTCATTTGAGAAAATATCTCTAACACTGACCTGGTATGGCCTTGTTCAATCTTGCTCTGATCCATGTTTTCTTAAAGTCAGCGTTATCTCATTTGTTTTTATTATTAGAAATGAGCCACTGCTTGCCTCTTCGCACCAAATATTAGGGATATAAAAGAACGGCATCTTCACCTGGAAGTGCGGCCCAGGCCTCCTGGGAGGAGGCGGGGCACAGGGGAGGCAGTCAGACTCTGGAATGTGTATTTAGAGTGGTAACATAGTATTTCAACCAAACCTGGGACAAAGTCACCTGGCGGAGGACAGAAGAGAAGGCTTCACAAATCATACTCCTCTGCCCTTCCTTTCCTAGTCAATTTTAAATGGCTGGAAGGCTGGTGTATCGGCTCCCTGCAGCTGCTGGAACAAAGCTACCACACGCTGGGCGGCTTACAGTAACGGCCATTGATTCTCTCCCAGTTCTGGAGGCCAGAAGTTGGATATCATGACGGCGGCAGGGCTGCACTCCCTCCGAAGGTTCAGGGGAGGTGCCCGTCCCGTCTTCCCCAGCTCTGGTGGCGCCACATGTTCCCGCATCACCACTGCCTCTGTGTCCATCTTCCCATGGATCTTCCCACTGATCATCTGGTGTTTCCCTTTCTCAGAAGGACATTAGTCATACTGGATTAGGTCCACTCTGCTCCACTTCATCTCAACTAATTACATTCCCCATAAAGTTGCTTTCACAGGTACTAGGGCTTAGGACTCCTATGTGACCTTTCGGCAGGCACAGTTCCCAGCACAGAAGGCCCAGTCCTGGCCCTCAGTGTTTTCTGCCACGCCTGGCATCGAGCCTCCTTCTCAAACCCTCTCTGCCTTCGGCACTTGCTCATATTCTGCAGACCCCTCTGTTTGTCTCAGCAGCTCTGGGATTTAGGTAGGTTGTGGCTCTCTGATCTCGCTCTCTCCTCACTGTCTATGCGTGAAACTACCAGGCCACTGGCATGATGGAGTGTCTCGAAAGAATGAAGGGCACCGCTCTTAGAGATCTCATCAGCTCTTGCATTTACGTGATCACTTCTTCAAATGTTAGACAAAAAGGCTACCAGCCATGTTGGCTCATGCCTCTAATCCTAGCACTTTGGGAGGCTGGGGTGTGAGGACTGCTTGAGTCCAGGAGTTCAAGACCAGCTTGGGCAATATAGTGAGACCTCAAGTCTACAAAAAATATAAAAAATTAGCCAGGCATGGTTGCGTGTGCCTATGATCCCAGCTACTTGGGAGGCTGAAGTGGGAAGACAGCTTGAGCCTGGAAGGTAGAGGTGACAGTGAGCTGAGATTGTGCTACTGCACTCCAGACTGGGTGACAGAGCAAGACACTATCTTAAAAAAAAAAAAATTAGACAAAGAGATACTTCAGATCTGACCTTTCTTCTTCTTATCTCCAATAATCACCCTTTGCATCTGCAAACACATGGTGAGGCTGGGAAGCACACCTAGGTACTTTTCCCACTATCCCATGATATCAATCTATTCTTCTTTTAGCTTTTTCTCTCTGTCCTTAGCCTCAAACGAAACGGTAAACTCCATGAAGTAGGACAGCATTATACATTTCTGCACACCTCATAGCATCAGCAGCATTGGAGGTTTCGATGAGTTGTTTTGAGTGGATGATGCGGGTGGCTCAGGGGACATGGTAAAGGCGCAAACCAGGCTGGCTGCTTGCTAAGCTCAGTCTCCATCATTTATTGTCAGGGACACGCGCCAACATCAGGGCAGGTAAAGGTCCCGTGCTGCTGCTGAGATCTCTTTCCGACAATGAGACAGGGTTCCTGGCTGGCCTCAGACTCTACTCCTGCTCCTTGAACCTCAGTTTCCTCATTCACTGGATTAGAAAGATGTTCTCTAAATTTACTTCAGCCTTGACCTCCTTTGATTTCTTTTTTTTGAAACTGAGTCTTGCTCTATTGCCCAGGCTGGAGTGCAGTGGCGCAATATAGGGTAACTGCAACCTCCACCTCCAGGGTTCAAGCGATTCTCCTGCCTCAGCCTCCCGAGTAGCTCGGATTATAGGCACCTGCCATAATCCCTGGCTAATTTTTTGTATTTTTAGTATAGCAGGGTGTCACCATGTCGGCCAGGCTAGTCTTGAACTCCTGACGTCAAGTAATCTGCCTGCCTTGGCTTCCCAAAGTGCTGGGATTACAGGCGTGAGCCACTGCACCCGGCCCCTTTGGTTTCTTTATGAGTTTGTTGGTCAAATGGCTCGCAAGCACTTTGGGGGATCACATAAAAGCCAAGGACCTGCTCTCTGGAAAATGATGTCATTCCAGGGGGTGCACAGAGCCTCTGTAGCCCATCAAGGACCCCGGGTTTAGAGCCATGGCCTAAGCCACCACACAGCTACAGAGCTCCTGTGTGCCCGAGTTCTGCCAGTGTCGGCTGACTCTGGGATTCACCTTCCTCTTCAGGACTTCCTCGACCTGCGGCATTCACAATCCGGCTGTTGGCTATTGCTCGGCCAGGGTTCTGTTTCATTCAGCCTTTTCTCATTCAGAGCCCCGAGTCCTCTGCTTGGTGTCTAACTTGACTCCAGCAATGGCCATTCAGAGGCTAAGGACGTGGTATAGAGAACAACTGTGTGGCTGTGGATCTGACCACCCCTTAGAGCTGGGTGATTCTACAGCTATTGGTTTGGTTTTGTACTTTTTTGGCGAAAGCACAGAATAACCTGGGATTCAGCAATTTAAATTAACTCTTCAAAAATCTAGCCTGAAAATAGTAATAACATAGTCAAAGAACAAATTATAAATAGGAAAAGTGTTTTAAAACTTACTGATGATGCCCTTTTGCTCTACCACATAAAAAGCAAAATGTGAAGAAAGCAAAAGCCGCGCCTTCAACGGACCAGCTGGCCAGAGCGTAGCCCCCCCACTCCACGATTTCTCCAAAATAGTTGGCCGCAGTTACGTATTCGAATAAGCCTCCTAGAAGAAAACACAGACCAAGGTAGTGCATTTACCACAAAATGAAATACTGACTTCAGAGATGCTAGTGAATACTTACCTGGAGAACATAACATCAAGAACGGAAAAATGTACCCTTAGAGAACGTTCAGCAATTAGACATATTCAGTGTTACGTGGTCTACTAATTTATATTACGACTTCTGATCATCAACTACATATCTATATCAATACCCATCTACGTGAATATACACACGTACAGTTACAGTGGAAAATGCCAATAAACCATGCACCTGCTGATGAATCATGCAAGCACAGAGAATACAGCGTAACAACTGACAACGAACTAGCCACATAAAACGGACCTAGGTAGAACCCTTGAACAATGAGTGATGAAGATATTCATTTTCAAGCACAGATCCATTCATTCATTCATCACATCTTCACAAATGCACTGAGTCAGTATTACGGGCCAGGCCCTGCCCAGGCACTTGGACGGACCCCTCCCCACATCTAGAACCAAAAACTCCAGTGTCATGAACAAGGAGAGCACGTAGCACGCGGAGGGGAGGAGCAGCGAGAGGCAGAGAAGAGGGGGGCCCAGAGCTGGGATGGGGTGAAGGAGGTCACCATCACAGGGTGGCTGGGAATAGGCCTCACGGGGAAGGTGAGGGTCAATTCAGGGCTTGCAGGTGAGGGCCAGGCTGGCAGGTATTGGGGGTGCTCTCAGGAGTGCTCCAGGCCAGGGAAGAGATGCAGCACAGGACCTGAGGCAGAGAGCAACGGCTGGTACACTCCAAGGACCAGAGGAGGGGTGGGAGAGGGGTCCCAGCAAAGGGGGAGGGCAGGAGGCCCCTCCGTGGGACTCACCCTTAGGCTGTAGCTTTGTGCCACTCAAGTGTGTTCTAGAGAGGCCTAGTGTGGTCTGCACCAGGGGTTCTAATTGGGCACTATGTCTGCAGAGCTGAGAAAATAGGCCGGGCGCGGTGGCTCAAGCCTGTAATCCCAGCACTGTGGGAGGCCGAGGCGGGTGGATCACGAGGTCAAGAGATGGAGACCATCCTGGTCAACGTGGTGAAACCCCGTCTCTACTAAAAATACAAAAAATTAGCTGGGCATGGTGGCGCGTGCCTGTAATCCCAGCGACTCAGGAGGCTGAGGCAGGAGAATTGCCTGAACCCGGGAGGCGGAGGTTGCAGTGAGCCGAGATCGTGCCACTGCACTCCAGCCGAAACTCCGTCTCAAAAAAAAAAGAAAATGCTGAAGGCATATAAAGACAGAGCATTTAAAAAAAAAAATTAGGCCAGGCACAGTGGCTCATGCCTGTAATCCCAGACCTTTGGGAGGCTGAAGCAGGTGGATCATGTGAGGTCAGGAGTTGAGACCAGCCTGGCCAACATGGTGAAACCTTGTCTCTACTGAAAATACAAATATTAGCCAGGTGTGATGGTGCACACCTGTAGTCCCAGCTACAAGAATCACTTGAACCCAGGAGGTGGAGGTTGCAGTGAGCTGAGATTGTGCCACTGCACTCCAACCTGGGTAACAGAGCTAGACTCTGTCTTAAACAACGACAACCACAAAACGACAAACCATTATACTCTAAGTCATAATACCAATTTCAACAAATGTCGTAGCAGAGGGTGGAGACTGCATCGCTGAGCACGCTGCAGCTTACATGCATGAGGGCTTTGGCTGGAGCTGAGATGGTCTACCTTTTTTTTGGAAACAGAGTCTTGCTCTGTCACCCAGGCTGGAGTGCAGTGGCATGATCTCAGCTCACTGCAATCTCCACCTACCACATTCAAGTGGCACATGACATGTGCCACCATGCCTGGCAAAGTTTTGTATTTTTAGTAGAGAGGGGGTTTCACCATGTTGGCTATACTGGTCTGGAATTTTTGACCTCAGGTGATCCACCTGCCTCGGCCTCCCAAAGTGCTGGGATTACAGACGTGACCCATGGTGCCCAGCCTGAGATGGTCTACTTTTTAAAAAGAAAGAAAATGGTTTTGCTGAGCCCAAGACAGCAAAGTGTTTTACTTTTTCTTATTTAAGGAAGGTGGGGTGTATAGATGTTTGCAATATTGGGCTCTCTACTACTTGGCTGTAAGTAGTCATAGCCATTCATATCAACCCAGTCTAGGATTCGTATCCTTTGCTTTTTCATTTCCATCTTCTAACATGCTTCTGTGGTGTTTGTTTTGGTCTTGTGGGACTTTTAATTTAATGATTAGAAACAAGGAATGGACTATGAACATCATATCTTGTCTGATCTTGGAAGCTAAGCAAGATCGAGCCTGGTTAGTACTTGGATAGGAGAAATTAAGAATTTTAGAAGCATTTTCTTCCTAAAGTAAGTCTTCTGTGTCCCATGTCATCTGCACTGACGCCTGGCATCACCTCCTGCTGCCTGGGAGTCACAGCCAAGCTTCTGCATCTCCTTTGGCCTGTCTATTTTCAGAGATGCCATTGATGGCCATGGGCTGTCGGGAAGCTAGGGTGATTACTTGCTGCAGGAAGGAGGCTGTGCGTGGTGAGAAAACACAGCATGGAGGGGTCTCCCTTTACTGCGACAGGAATAAGCTGAGTTTATAGACTGTGGGTTTGTCATAGGTGTTCTTTAGCTGATGGGTATAGACCCTGCAACTGCTCCATTCACATTTTATTTTTATTTTTAATTTTTTTGAGATGGAGTCTCACTTTGTCGCCCACGCTGGAGTGCAGTGGTGCAATCTCGGCTCACTGCACCCCATGCCTCCCAGGCTCAAGCGTTTCTTGTGCCTCAGCCTCACAAGTAGCTGAGATTACAAGTGCGCACCACGATGGCCAGTTAATTTTTGTGTTTTGTGTTTTTAGTAGGAACAGGGTTTTGCCACATTGGCCAGGCTGGTCTTGAACTCCTGACCTCATGTGATTCTACTATTCACTTAGATCTTGTTCTCTGATGATGACTTCCTTTCTTGATAGTATACTGATGCATTTAAAAAGATTTTCAAATAATTCCAACATTTTAAACTGTTTTCAGAGGAAGGTTAAAGTATCTATTCCATTATAATGCTAGAAACAGAAGTGTCAGACACTCCTCGTAAACCTTAAATTCTTCCTCCTTCTCTCTTTCCAAGCACAGATATAACTGGAGTTTCTGCTGTAATAACTGTTCAGTTAGCCAGATTTGTTTTTTGTTATTCTAATAAGACAACAATGATAGCACTTGTTATTAATAATGATAACTTACACTGAAAACTTATAGCTAATAAATACTATACTACTTCTCAGAGCTGGCAACCCTGAAATAGTAAGGCACCATGCCACTCAACTTTCACATAAATTCTTCACTTTCAGTACGTACCCCTTGGTATTTTGTATCCAGTGTCTCCTGGTTTTCTGAGATTCCTTAGGATATGATCTGAATGGATGTTTATCAACATGCCCATTAACCACAAGCCAAAACCTGAAGGAAAAAAAAATTGCAAGACGATTATGGCTAATAAACCATAAAATTCCACTATGAGCCCCAGCCTGCCTGAACAGTATTATTGTAACCCTTCATATTACCATTGTTAGTGCAACGTATTAGCCATAACTAGTAGTAAAAACCACTAAACACTATTGTCAGGTAAGCTAAGGAGGGCTTTTTCGAATAATACAAATAAATTATCTAATGTATTCAGAATACTTGGACCTGATCGTTACAATCTGTGATTTCAGGATGACGGGTATGGATAGAAATCTGACTTGGGCACAAGTCTCCTTTCCAGGGAGCATCAGGGAGTCAGCCCGGCAGATAGGCTCAGCCCACTTATTTCTCACAATCTGTACACGGCAATGCTACCGTCTCCACCATACAGCAGGAGGGGCGAGGTACCTGGGCTGCTCTGTCACCACTGATTGTATGCTGCCTCCTGAGGGGCGACAGTTCCCAGGAGCTGATCTCTGGTCTTCTTCTCTTACTTACAACCTCATTTGAACAAATTAATGCACATCCACACTTCGCCCACAGCAGAGTTCCTGCAGGCTCATCAATCGGCATTCCTCGGTCAGCTCTTCCTCCTCTGTTCCCAACAAGAGTCTCCCATGCTGGCTGCATGACTCTCCCCAGAATCCTGCGGTATCCCCAGTTTTCTCGCCTATTCTTATAAATCTTTGGGAATTTTTTATCATTTAAAGGAGAGTTCTTAGTATCACATCGATTAATTCCATCAAGAAAAGGCAAAATGCCAAAACAGTATTTTATAAAAGAAATACTGATAAAAAGAGGTTGACTTAATAGTTCTGAGATACTTTTTTAAAAATGTGAAAGGCAGATGCTGCTTAATGGTGGCATTCAATTCGATATTAAATAAATGTACACCTGGGGTATCATTATTATTTTATTCATCACATCAGTGACATTGAATACTTTTTCAAAGTTAGAACAAGGATATAGAAAACCTGGTATACAGCAAGTGTTGCACGATTTCTTCCTTCTGATTTTGCCACTGTAAGCAGCTTTGTAAAAACATTTTTTCTCAGCAGTTCATACCAAATTTTATAATAGGTTTTATAAGTCATTTATTGGATCCATACATTTATAGTTGATTTGCCACCTTTTTTTGATATTAGTATTTCACCCCTAGGTAATTTGGCTTCCAATATGAGGTTCTAGAAAGAAAGCATGATGTCTAAATAGCATAGCTACTTTTTGTTTCTTCTAGGAGACAAGCTCCCTTTATTGCTTAGATTGGAAGAAAACTAGTACTTGTGTTCACCTAAGGTAAATATTTAATTCTATTTATAAGAATCTTAAAATCCGGCTGGGTGCAGTGGCTCACACCTATAATCCCAGCACTTTGAGAGGTCAAGTTGGGCGGATCACTTCAGGCCAGGAGTTCAAGAGTAGCCTGGCCAACATGGTAAAACCCCGTCTCTACTGAAAATACAAAAATTAGCCAGGAGTGGTGACACACGCCTGTAATCCTAGCTACTTGGGAAGCTGAGGCACGAGAATTGCTTGAACCTAGGAAGTGCAGGCTGCAGTGAGCCAAGATTGCGCCACTGCACTCCAGCCTGGGTGACTGGATGACAGAGTGAGACTCTGTCTAAAAAAAAAAAAGAATCTTTCTATAAAATATTTTAGATTACCCACTTTTGCTGTTATGGAAAACCTTTTGTTAGAAATATGCTGGGCGTGGTGGCTCATGCCTGTAATCCCAGCACTTTGGGAGGCTGAGGTGAGTGAATCACCTGAGGTCAGGAGTCTGAGACCAGCCTGGCCAACCTGGTGAAACCCTGTCTCTACTAAAAAGATACAAAAATTAGCTAGGCATAGTGGCATGCAGCTACAGTCCAGCTACTTGGGAGACTGAGGCATGAGAACCTCTTGAACCCAGGAGGCAGAGGTTGAAGCGAGCTGAGATTACACTACTGCACTCTAGCCTGGGCCACAGAGTAAGACTCCATCTCAAAAAAAAAAAAAAAAAAAGAAAAAGAAACTTATTATTATTTGCTTAGTTCTTCATGGTAACTACAGTAGGCATACTTACTTATTGATGTAATTTCATGTATGTTTCCTCACAAAAACAATAAACTCTAGGCAATAAATGTAACACACAAAAGGTAACCTAGATTGTCTCCCAATTGGCAAATTTTTTTCCTTTTCAAATCCTTCTGTTGAATTGTAGAGAAATCAAGAAGTCTGTATACAATTTACTGGTGTCTGGAATCTCAACCAGCTTCACAGTCACCTCTATGTGATGCGACCCATTTGCAGAACTACTTTAAATAGGATTTAAATCTACAGATCAAAAGGATTCTTTTGTTGTTGTTGTTCATCATAGAAGTGAGTCCCAAGAGATTCTCAGTAAACATTTAAAATCTGTGTCTTTAAAAAGGCAAAAGAAAGAAATTCCACTTCCTCTTATTCCGGTTGCCACCTGTGGACACTCAGCTTTGTGAGGCGGTGGAAATCCCCGCTCTGCCATTCACTGCGTCTGGATGTCTTGGGCCAGCTGTGTAACTCTTCTGACCTTTCATGTCTTATCTGAAAAGAGCATCCTTTCTGTCTCAGAGAGCATAAATCATGTGTTCTGCACAAGAACTCAAAAGCCTGTTCCTTCTCTTGACAGGTGGGGCAGAAGAAAATAAAGTAGTCAAAAACCAGTCAATCAAGAAGATATTTGTGGTTACTGTACAACAATTTAGTACTAAACAATTTAGTCCAGCATTTCATGGAGGCACAGACTTCTGGGGCTAGAAAGGACCTGAAACACCTCTCAGCCACCCCTCCTTTTGTAGAGGAGGGACAGGTGATTGCAACAATCCTCAGGTATGATGAAACCCTGGAATAAAATTCTAATTCACCAAAAAAAAAAAAAAAAAAAAAAAAAAAAAAAAAAAAAAAAAAAAAAAAAAAAAAAAAAGACTGAGAAATGTTGAAAGGGATCTCTCAGCCACAAGTACTATCCAAGTGTTAGTTTATTTCTATGATTATAAATTAATATACATGAAGAAAGCAAAATGCAATGTAAGGTCACTTTATGTAGCTTAAGGAGAAACACTGCAGGGTAGTTTGCAAATCTGATGGACTGACTTCAGAGTTTTAGCATGCGACCGTGGGGGTAAGCTACGCCTTAGTGTGGTTTAATACCTAAATGCTGGAATAGACTAAATAAACACACAGAAGAACCTTTGTTTTTTGCAGAGCTAGCTGAGATTTTATTTTGGACAAAACAAAAAAAAGCAATTGAATTGTTTTGTAGCTGGAGGCATGGGCAAAGGGTGTCCCCAGGCAGTAAACTCCCTGCATGTGGGCTGAGGGCTTAGGCTGAGCTTCAGGTGGGTCTCCCGTTTTGTGCTCCCCTGCTCAGCGGCCACAGGAGGGTCAGGCTGGGAGGGGCTTCTGCAGCTGTCCACTTGGGCAGGATGTCAGAGAACTCGGACACCAGCTTCCCAGCACAGATCTCAATCTTCTTCACAACCACGGCCCTGGTGAAGCTGGTACGGCTGAAGGAGCACCAGAGCCAAAGCTGGGGCCCAGGCCGTACCTACGGCTGGGGCTTGTGAGGCCCCCATAGGCTGAGTTCAAACCACCTGTCAAGCTGCTGGTGGTCTTCATATGGATACTCATGTTCTCCCTCCCAGACACCAGCCGGCTCTCCTCGCCCTCCAGCAGCTTCCTATAGGTGGCAATCTCGATGTCCAGGGCCAGCCTGACACTCATCGGCTTCTGGTACTCATGCAGCTGCTGCACTACGCCCTGCTTGGCCCGCTGTAGGGCGGCCTCCAGCTCAGACAGCCTGGCATTGGCGTCCTTACTGGCCAGCTCCCCAAGCTCAGCATCTGCGATGGCGGCCTCCAGGGAAGCCCTCTGGTCTTTGAGGCCCTCAGTCTCAGCCTGGAGCCAGCAGATATTCCAGTTCCTCTCAGAGATCTCAGTCTTTGTATGCCGCAGGTCATCCTGTGCTTCCCAGCCAGCGTCTTGATCTGGTACACGCTCTCAGCCTCAGCCCGGCTGCGGTTGGTGATCTCCTCATACTGCGCCTTGACCTCAGCGATGATGCTGTCCATGTCCAGGGAGCGGCTGTTGTCCATGGACAGCACCACAGACGTGTCTGAGCTCTGGGGCTGCAGCTTCCGGATTTCCTCTCCTACAGCTGCCTGAGGAAGTCGATCTGTCAGTCAGCCCTTCCGGGTGAGACTCCAGCTCTACCTTGTTCATGTCAACTTCCTCCACATCCTTCTTGATGAGGACAAATTCATTCTCCATCTCTGTAGCTTATTGATCTCTTCCTCATACTTGTTCTTGAAGTCCTCCACCAGCCCCTGCATGTTGCCAAGCTCCGCCTCCAGCTTCAGCTTCTCCTGGCCCAGAGTTTCCAGCTGCCGCCTCAGGTTGTTGATGTAGCTCTGGAACGTGCTGTCCATGTTGCTCTGAGCCATTTTCTGCTGCTGCAGGAGGCTCCACGTGGTCTCCAGCATCTTGTTCTGCTGCTCCAGGAACCTTCCCTTGTCAATGGAGGAGGCAAACTTGTCGTTAAGGGTCTTGATGTGCTCCTTTACCTGGGTGCACATGGCCTGGATGCTGGGGTCCACCTCCAAGTTAATGGGGTTCTGCAGGCTCTGGTTGACTGTGACGGTGGTGATGCCTCCATCCTGCTGGCCCTACCACAGCCTCCACCCAGGCTACCCCGGAAGCTGCTGCTGCTGCCTACTCAGGAGAAGCTTGAGGAGCTGATGTGGACGTGGGGTTCACTCACGTAGGAGCAGCAGCTGAAGGCCCAGGGGCCAGCGGTGGGTACCCTGGAGGACTTCTGAGTCATCCTGATGGACATGGTGGAGGCAGAGTGAAGGCAGAAGGGCTGAACCAGGTAGAGATTCCAGAAGGAGCAGAGAAGCTGCTTCTTGGAAAGAATCTTTCTTATATATAAGATTGCTGAGTTTTTTTTTTTTTTTTGACACAGTGTCTCACTCCGTCACTTAGGCTGGAATGCGGTGGCAGAATCATGGCTCACTGCAGCCTTGACCTCCTGGCCTCAGGTGATCCTCCCACCTTAGTGTCTGTGAGTAAGCTGGGACCACAGGTGTGTGTCGCCATGCCCAGCTAAATTTTTATATTTTTTTTAGAGATGGAGGTTTGCGATGTTGCCCAGGCTGGTCTTGAACTCCTGGACTCTAGTGATATGTCCACCTCAGCCTCCCAAAGTGCTAGGATTACAGTGTGAGCCACTGCACCCAGCCAGATTATAAATTTTTAATGCTCTTGCAAATATCTTTGATGGCTGTTTTATTTTCATTTTTCTCAGATCTTATAAAGTTATAATTAGAAGTTGAAAAGATACATGAATTCACATTAACTGATACAACTGAAAAAATTCAAGAACTTCGTAAACCTAAAAGTGATTCAGGTTCACAGAATCACAAAAGCTGCCCTGTAGGAAGATAACCCAGTCTGGTTTTTTCTCACATCACAGCAGAGACCGCAGGAGTTTGGGGCCCATCTTAGATTACGTGGTCGATGAGTGCCAAAATCGTCTCAGCCTTTAGTCCCTGCTCATTCTGCCACAGTGCGCTGCTATTTTCAGGTTCTCAGCCTGACCAGGCACCTGTGCTTCAGCTCAGCACCTGTGTCACCTCCAGACAGCCTGGCTCTCCCATGGGCGACCCTGGGGTACTGCTGCTCTCTCTGCTGAGTCTTTGTTCTCACAGGAACCTTGGACTTTCTCATTAAAAACCACTGGACACTTTTACACTCTTGGTGGGAGTGTAAATTAGTTCAACCATTGTGGAAGACAGTGTGGCGATTTCTCAAGGACATAGAAATAGAAATTCCATTTGACCCAGCAATTCCATTACTGGGTATATACCCAAAGGATTATAAATTGTTCTACTATAAGGACACGTGCACACGAATGTTCATTGCAGCACTGTTTACAATAGCAAAGACCTGGAACCAACCCAAATGCCCATTGATGATAGACTGGACAGGGAAAATGTGGCACACATACACCATGGAATATTATGCAGCCATCAAAAACGATGAGTTTGTGTCCTTTGTAGGGACATGGATGAACCTGGAAACCATCATTCTCAGCAAACTGACAGAAGAGCAGAAGATCAAACACTGCATGTTCTCACTCATAGGCGGGTGTTGAACAATGAGAACACATGGACACAGGGAGGGGAGCACTACACACTGGGGTCAGTTGGGGGGAAATAGGGAGGAATGGTGGGGGATGGGGAGTTGGGGAGAGATAGCAAGGGGAGAGACGCCAGATGTAGGTGACGGGGAGGAAGGCAGCAAATCACGCTGCCACGTGTGTACCTATGCAACAATCTTGCATGTTCTTCACATGTATCCCCAAACCTAAAATGCAATAAAATAAGTGGAAATATAAAAAAATACCATTGGGATGGCAACATAAAAGCAGTGATGTGAATGAGATGGAGGTCACTGCTGTGGACACTCACCCATTAGGAAACGGGGATCCCTTAACCAGTCATCAGCATACACTGCACAATGGCTTAAGTATCTGCTTTGCAAATAGCTGTTACCGGTACAGAACATAGTTGCCAGTATACATGAAAACAGTGGCATAGGCGTTCCTCCTCGAATCAGAAATGGGTAAATTAAGGACCTGAGGAAACAAGAAACAGGTACATGTTTTTGAAAAATGTTAAAGATCATCATTTCTGTAATCCTATCTTAAATGATTTGAGTTTTAAATCTTGCTTTCTTGTACAAATGCCATCCTCAGTAATATTCATAGTGGTTTATTATATTTAAGCTAAAAGTGGATTTTGATTTTAATTTTATTTTTTGGGAGAGATTCTTGCTGTGCTGCCCAGGCTGCAGTGCAGTGGCGTGATCATGGCTCACTACAGTCTTGAGCTCCAGGGCTTAAGCGATCCTCCTGTCCCAGCCTCCTGAGTAGCTGGGACTATAAGCACGTGCTCCCATACTTACTATTATTATTACTTTTCTTTTGTAGACATGAGCTCTCACTCTGTGGTCCAGGCTGGTCTCAAACTTTTGCCTCAAGTGAACTTCCTGCCTTGTCCTCCCAAAATGTTGGGATTATAGGTGTGAGCCACTGTCTCCAGCCAAAATGCAGATTTTTAAATAAAGCACTACCACGTTTCAAATATGTTCGCCACAGTGTACAAACTCCAGATTCTACTTACATACAACATAAAACAGAATACATTGAATTAGGAAAACTAGGGGCTTCAAGAAGGTCTTAAAATTTCCAGTATCCTAAACCCATTAACCAGTCCTAGTCTGAGCAATAAGATTTGGAACACCCCATCACATCATCCATCACCATTGCAACGGCTCCCATTCCCTGAGCATTTGCATTCCCTGCAAACCACCCCAGACTCTAGCTAACCAGGCAGGAGGCACTCTTATCCACATTTGACAGAGGATGAAATGACACAGAGTGGTAAAGTAAACTGCTCAAGATCACGGGCTACTGAGTGGCTGAGTTTAAATGTAAATTGGGGCAATTCGAAGATCGTGTTCTGTTGTACCACACTGGCTTAGGTGCACTTTACTGAAGGTTTAATGAGACAAAATAAAAGGACAAGAACTTAGAAAATTATAAAGAGAATGCAAAATGTTATTCTGTGTTTGAATTTTCTCTTTAATATCAATGCATAGTACATTGAAAGAGGGGACATCACTACATATCCTACGGACCTTAAAAGGATAATAAGGAACTCTTTTTTTTTTTTTTTTTTTTATAGAGGGTCTTGCTCTGTCACCCAGGCTAGAGTGCAGTGGGGCAATCATGGCTCACTGCAGCCTCAACATCTTAGGCTCAAGTGATCCTCCTACCTCAGCTTCCTGACTAGCTGGGACCTGAGGCACACACCACCAAACCCAGTTAATTAAACTTTTTTTTTTTTGCAGAGATGGGGTCTCTCTATGTCTGGTCTTTAGTTCTGGTCTTGAACTCCTGGGCTCACATGATCCACCCAGGTAATAAGGAACTATTACGAACAACTGTATATCAACAAATTCGACAACTTGATAAAATAGACAAACTCCTTGAAAGACACAAATGACCAGAGCAGACCCAAGAAGAAAGAAAGGTGACATGAGTAGCACTGGTACCAATGAAAGAAATTGAATTTAGACTTCGGAAATTCTAGAACGGGCAAAATGAGACTCAGGGGAGAGGATTAACTGCAAAGATTAACCTTCCCTTTTTGGGCAATATTACTGCTCTCTGTATTAATAGATTATGAACTTGAATTTAGACTTACTTATGAAATCCAGAAAAGGCAAAAATAGAGTCAGGGTGGAGACTGGCTGCAGAGACACACAACAGGAGTTTTTTAGAGGAATACAACTGTTCTATCTCTTGATTTCGGGTGATGATTACACAACTATATGCTATCACCAAAATTCATCAAACTACAGACTTAAAATGAGTGAACTGTATTATTTGTAAATTATACCTTAACAGAGCAGGAAAAACTTTAAAGCTTGTTATTTGTTTCCATTGTGACCATTTGTGCCAGGGTGAAATCATAATTAGTCATTAGTCACGGTTACGAACATGGACAGTGATCACGTGATGAGTAGTGCACTGCTGGCCGTGTACCCTCAAGCCATTCTCTCCCCAGCCTTCCACTCAGCTCCTGGTGAAGACATTCACGTGAGTCAAAAGCAGCCTCTAAGGTTCTCAACTCATTCAGGCCAGGACCCCTAGGAAGACTTCATACTGATTTACCGCAAAGCACACTTTGGCCAGTAAGTGTGCATTCAGATGCTCCTGGAAGCTGTGGTGTTGGCAAGCAATGAATAAGAACAAAGAATCCCAGCAATTTCTCTCTGCTTCTTGGAAACATGATTCAGATCTGGGCAGACAGTGGGTACCGTGGAGTGGCATCTGGGATGTGGTGGGTACACTGTGAGTGCTTGCATACCAACATTTCCTGTGGAACAAGTAGAATCTGCTTTTGATGGAGATAAGAGTAAGCCTGACTGGCACAGCCTCCCTTAAACATAGGAGGTGATTTTGATTTGTGATCAGACATCTTTCCTGCCTCTGCCCATTTGTCAGCCAGAACAGGAGGCCTTGTGTTAGACCTGGACGGACACAATTAATGACATAAGACAGAGCAGCTCTCACTCTACCCGAGTGTATCAACTTGAGAAGCACCAGGAGCAGGAAGCCCACTTCTGAAGACAGCTTAGGAGATTCTCAATGCGGCAAAGAGCAAAAAGGACACCAGTATGAGAAAGTTGAGAGAAAACTTCCCTGAGAGTGACAGCCTCACAATATTTCCCAGTAGGCAAACTGCAGGATAGAGTTGAGAAAGTGTTCGAATTCTAAGATTGAAGAAATACAGAAAAAGAGAGCAAGACATAAAAATTGTGGGGAATATAAGGCTTGGATTTGGTTTAGAAAGATTTCTGCTAAAATAGAGAGTACTCAGTTCATAAAAAGTTGGGCCTCTGGACCTGAAAAAAGTCCATCCTAAATTGAATACTTGATAACAGGAAGGCAAGGTCAAAAAGCAGAAGGAAAAATATTAGCACACTTGAAATACACAGAATTGAAAATGGTCTAAGAGACTTCTGCACTGGATGTCACCCATTTAAACAACGGACAAATGCTGTGTGAGAGAACCTTTCCTTCCAGGATGTGAGAATCACACACAGCGAACTTTGATCCATTTCTCTCAATTTGGTTTCAAGTTCCGGGTTGAATGCTGAACGGGCAAACGTCAGCTGCTGATGATGCTAGAACTGTGTCAGAAGAATATAATAGAGGATAAATTACCTGACTCTGCACTTGCCAACATATTCCCAACTCACAGGAAAGCACTGGTCAGAGAAATTAGACAATTTAAGATAGAAGCTCATCACAGCAGGATTTCTTCACAAAACAGAGGAAAATGAGGCTGCAGCCAAAGTAGATTATCGGCGGCTCACTGGTTAGTGAAGCAAGGAATGCACGCATCAGTGGTGAGTTAATTAACGGCAGCAACCACAGAGGCGTGTCCAGAGAACACACACCTGTTTCTCACGATTAGGCTTTCAGGGAGAACACCTGCTGGAGGAGCAAGTGGACACTGGGAGCAACATCGACAGTCAATTAAAACAAGGCAGGCCCAGGCAATGTGGCTCATGACTGTAATCCCAGCACTTTGGGAGGCCGAGGCAGGCAGATTGTTCGAGTCCAGGAACTGGAGACTAGCCTGGGCAACATGGTGAAACCCCCTCCCTAGAAAAAATACAAAAATTAGCTGAGTGTCATGGCATGTGCCTGCAGTTCTAGCTACTCGGGAGGCTGAGGTGGGAGGATCACCTATGACTGGGAGGTAGAGGCTGCAGTGAGCTGAGATTGTGCCACTGCGCTCCAGCTTGGATGACAGGGTGAGATCCTGTCTCAAAATAATGATTTTTTTTTTTTTTTTTTAAAGCAAGGCAGAGGATGAGCAGTCTTTGTCGGCTCTGGGTGAGTCTATGGATGTTACTGACATGGCCCAGATGTTTATTTGAGGAGTTCACATCAAGGCTGAAGTGAATGAAGCCTTAGGCTCTTTAAATAGTCTGTGTAGAACAACTACTGGCAAGAATGCTTTAAAAGAAGTTGAGAAAACATGAATTTAGCAGAACCCAATGTGGAATCTGCTAAGCTGTTGCAATTGATGGTGGTAAAAATGTATGGAACAGAAAAACAAATTACAAACTTACAAAGCTTGTCAAAATGTAAGGTGCTTCAAGCTATTCTTTGTATCAGCAGGCCTTTTGCAGAAAATCTATTGTGTGTGATTGAACCCATAGTGACAACAGTGAATGCCAATCCCTCTCATGGATTCAACCACCATCTGCTCTCTAACTTTTCATCAGAAATAAGCTGACTATGCCGATTCGTCCCACCATACACCAGTTTGATGGCTTAATAAAGTTTAATCCATTGTTTTGAGCTCAGAGCTGAGACTGAAACTTTTCTGAACAAGAACTGCCCTCACCACCATTACTGAGTTTGGAAGGGCTTTCGAAAGTCTGCTTTCACTGCAGACTTGATAACATATCCTAATAAATTTAACCTAAAACTGCAAGGCAAAACAGTGCTCATGTGCGAAACTCAGATTCTGTTATCGTCATTTTGATGGTGACTGACACTGTTCCAATCACAAGTCACATCAAACTGTGTTCTGCACTTGCCATGTTATTCAAATTAAAGGAAGTGAGAGCTCCATGCTCACATCAGCTTGCAGTGGCTATACATTCTCACTTTAAACTACAGTGTGTTTGTGAACCTGGATTTCCATATTTCAAAATCCATTTAGCTGTGCAGGGGAGGAGCTGTTGTCTAACCTTCCACAGGAAGATATGAATCTGCAGTGTAATACCATATGGAAAGGCAAAGACAAGAGAAGAATCTAACTGGATTCCATGAGTGCCTTCCAAGTGATGACCATGCTCGATTAAAATGATATACACCTGGACTGATGTCAACACTTCCATTTATAGAGATAAAATACCTAAAATCTAATTATAGATCAACATTGGGAGACGAACATTTAGAATAGATGTTGATAATAGGAAACACTAACTTTGAATCCCAATAAATGAAATGTTTTCTCTCACCAAAAAAAGAATTCTATTATTCTC